GGGGGAACGACAAGCGATGTTCTCCACCTAAGGGGAAGAAGAAGAGCCTTTGTGCTATCAGCCAAGATTGAGCACGGTTTAATCCACAAACGGTGAATTCTCTCGAGCGAATATATTATAGTAGCAGTCGATCGTTTCAGTCTTCAATAAGAGGTTTATTAGGGAAACTCTCGGATTTTTCTAACTATGGTTTCTCACACTTAAGGTATTTTATTATTTATTATATTATATAGGGCGCAGAGAGATATATTTATTAGGTAGACATAATCGTAGCAATTTTATGAAATAGTAGATTGTATACGAATCAAATGTCTTGCAAGTAATTGACCGAGACCCAGTAGTATCAGATAGATGTAAATATGTCAGTTTTATTAGAATTGCGATAGAGGACTATTTTTCGTTAATACTACATCGTTTTTTTCCATTTCTTCTACAATATATCGTGGGGCTTATTGCTGAGGAATAGTTCTTTCTGGTATATTTATGTGTCCATTGTTTGCGATTGATTGTGATGAACGAAAGGGAACGAAAAGGCAGAAGAAAGAAGAGAAGGTGGGGAAAAAGAAAAAGAAAAAAATAGAAGCGAAAGTAAAATGGGAATAGAAAGGGGAAAAGAGGAGGAAAATGAAGAAGAAGAAGGAGAAAGTGAAGGGAACTGGTAAGAACAGACGGGAAGAGAACAGATGGGACGAGAAAGAAAGGGAAGAGGAGGAAGGCAAGCCATTACTTTCGTTTGCTGTTTCTACTCGCTCCAGGGGTCGTGTCGTACGTAATATAAGACTGGTATATTCCGCTGCCTGACCTCATTTCGTCTGTTTACAGATCTGTAACTATTAAAACGTCCCAAAAATTATAGCCAATTAGATGTATTATTAAATTAATCCAATTAATTTAATAACTGATACGACGTATCATTTAATCCATTGTACATTCAGTTATCAAGTTGAAGAATGAAAAGTTTATGGCGTTATATAAACTTCAGTAAAATTTAAGTTTTATTCCCTCTCGATGTATTTTTCTCTATTTTCAAATTTGTAAGAGATTCATAGGTATCTTGTTTCTCATGATTCAAGCTGTACAATATCAGACAAGTCGAAACGGACTGATATCCGCCAGATGGAAGGGTTGAAGAACAGCCGTGAATACGCGTGCACCGTTACTTTATTTTATTGTACGCGGTTCGCGTTCCTCACGGAATAAACATGCAACCCTGTTTATACACGCTCCAACTCATTGTTTTTCTTTCCCTGGGGCGTCCTCGTTAATCCTGTTACTTTTGTATATCCGGATGCATCCGAGATAAAAGCGATATTTTACGTTCTCTATAGCTACCATGTAAATTTCTACTCCTATTTTTCATCTTTGATTTTGTTAATCCACCTTCGTTTCTAGATTGTTTTTTTAGCGATTGCTCTTAACGAATATTGTGCTTAGATTTGATGTTACGCAAAGCTAAAGTGTGCAACATCGTTTACATGAATCGTTCGAGATTTAAAATCGTAATGTATATATTGATTTTTGGTTTATATCGATGAAATCTATTACTTTAGGTAATAGAGATATGGAGTTTGATTCGACCGTAATAGAAAGGGAAAAGGTGAAATAAAATTGATTTTATCGCGATATATATCACGCATGGAATGAGGTATTCATTTATATAATTGTTGGGTTTACAATTTCAAGAAAATGTGGAACAGAGTATTTCATTGTTAGATTGTAAATTATAAGATCAATGCATTTGATAATCTTTTTACTTCTTGGAACTAGATCTAGATAGATTTCCTTAACACGTGAAAAAACTTTATGCTTAAGAAAACACTCCATCTTTAGGAACAAGAAAATCCATCCAAGAAAAACACCTATCCTATCTTTATTTCAAAATCTACTGCGATGCAAAGACGTATTACTTGAAATTGCTTTTCTTAACTCTTTAAGATTTCATTCTTTCTATGGAAAGCTAGATATATCATTTTCGTTCTCTTAATTTCGTTCTGTTAAAATTATTTCCACATACTTGTTCCCAAGGCGTAAAATAATTATATTGTGTATTCCATATCATAATATCACGAGCAACACCATCGTCTAAAGATCCCAATCTCGTTTTTCCTAATTACAGGTCTTCTGCCTAATGGCGGATACATGCACGTTCAGCCTGACAACACTCTACATCCCGAATATGATTAACAAAACGTTCGAAAAAAAAGAAAAAAAAAATTCAATTCCACAATACTCCAAATCCCAGTGTGTGTCCATGATCATCGTTCCTGTACATCAATCCCTTCGCGATCTTGAGAAAAGAAATTACATGGCAGAACTCACGGTACTTAATTGCTGTTTACTTGCAGGTATTAACTTTGTTATTGTCGACGACACAACAAATATGATTTACGGTGCGGTAAGCACATACTTAACCCGTGTTTCCTCCGTAGAGAAATGTGAAGAAAGAGAATCGAGTGTCTCGCTTTACGGTCCGCGGCCGGAAGTCGAGGACAACGGTCCTTTCGTGCACGCGGAAAAGGATCACGACTCTCTGCTTTTATGTTACATTTAGCTAGAAATGACAAACGCGTGCGTCACGCTGCGTAAGGCGGATGTTACACGTAAATCCGCCTGTATTCTTTTCATTTTATATTTTTCTTTACGAGTCTTGGAATAACCGTGTAATTTATCATCTTATCAAAAGGAATTTTTTATACTCTTTCTCCCTGCTTATCTGTCGTTATAATAAAAAAGTTAATATATTTTGTTTTATGAAACGTTTTTGATATGAGTAATTTGCTTCTGATACAGCGGAGTAAATATTAGATAGCGATTACACGTAATCAATTTCGCTGAATAAATGGCGCACAAGATTATTTAGGTAGGAGGAGAGTAATCAATTAGTTTTATAAAACGTTTCTTTCATACAGTAGAGCTAAGACGAAGTAACAATTAAATTTAACCAATCTTACTGAATGATTTAGAGGATTATATACAGGGTGGTTGGTACAAGCGGAAAGGGGGTGATTCTACGCGAAAAAAGAAGTCAAAAATATAGAATACAAATTTTTCGTTCGAGGCTTTGTTTTTGAGAAAATCGACTTTGAATTTTCGCTCGGTACGCGTGCACTTTATCACGCCTCGTTATAACGGATCTCACTGTAGATCGTTGTCTCGATGGAAAAATTAAAAAAAAAAATTTCTATTCTATATTTTCGATTTCTTTTTTCACGTAGAATCACCCCCTTTCTGCTTGTACCACCAGTTACCAACCACCCTATCCACCCTGTATATACGAGAAATCTTCTTTAAGTCATATCATATAGTTTGGAGTTCTCTATATAATTAGAATGTTACTGTTCTTCTATATATATATATAATATTCTAATTATATAGAAAACTCCAAACTATACGATATGTCTTGAAGAGAAATCTTCTTCTTCAAGTGGTATCATTTATTCCGAAACGCTCTATTTGATTAATATACGACTGACCGAAATAACTTATCGATTTGAAAAGAATCAAGACGTAGTTTTCACATATGGATATTGGGAGAGCTCGAATAACAAAAGCGTCGCTTCTCTGTTACAGATCAGAGGCAAAAAAGTAAAGGTGGCGGGAGTAGTTGCTGCTCAGCTTCCTGTTGCATACTTTAAAGAAAACGTTGGCTGCCCTGGATATATTTTGAGGTCGTTCCGTGTGAGAGCCAGCTCCCACGTTCTTCTAGCTGAGCCATGGTTTCTAAGGTTTCGATGCTGATGTATCACTGTTAGTGGCTGAGCATTGTGAGCAGTGTAGCAAAACGAAGTTGTCGCACCCCTGTTGCTAATTCATCTAAATTACAAACGAATGAAAAAGAGAGAAAAAGGAAAGAATTTACATTGGTTTGCCCGCATGCTAGAACGATGAAAGAGAAAACATCGTTCATCGTCCCAGATGAACAAATTCTTTCGTCGTCGTTAACATAGAAAAAAAAACGTAAAAAGGAGAAAAGAAGGAGACAAAAACTATAGTGAAAATGTCTTGAAAGGCAAGATCCATATGTTCATAATTGGAGGAAATTTAAACGTGACCAATGCCAAACAATATGACCTACATAAAAGCTACATCCTATTTTGTTCGCTAGTAACCATGTACTCTTGACCGGTGTGTTTACACTGAAAATCTATTTATAATCCATCTCGCGACAGAAGATCGGCAAACACGTTTTTAGGGATATCGATGACCCAGTTCGACTATGGACATTGGAACGCGTGACGTTGAGAAGCCGTTCAACCCTCCATGATCGAGAAAGTCAAGAGGAAGTTACGCTACTTGTGGGGCATCGGCGATTGATTCGGCTCTCGAAGCCTATTAATTACACGTGTAAAATGGGGCAAAAAGATAATTCCATTAAAATCAATTTTTCGTTGGGAAAGAGATTAGGACACGGTAGAGCCTTTCGAAAAGAATGGAGGACGATGGTACGCGTTCTTGAACGGCGCTACACGATGCTTAGAAACTCAACCACTATCCGATTATACTGCAGTGTTAAATAGTAATTATTATTGTAGACGGTATCCGTGTGTGTATGGGTGTGTGTGTGTTGCGTACGAACGAGTGTGTTACGTTTGAAAGATCGGCGGAAAGTGAGAATGACTGGAAAAGAACGAAAGAGAGAGAGAAAGAGAGAAAGAAATTTATGTTGTGATATGCAGGTAGTGAATATAATTATATATTATACATACTATTATTAAAATTATATATTATATATATATATATATGAAATTATATATATAAATATATAATGGTATGAGACATGTTGACAAGCAGTTAAACTCTCATACACAGGATAGACTTTATTATCATGAATTTAAAGTAATATTATGACGCCACTTCGAGAGTTTAGTATTCTGGAATAAGATTACAGAGGAAAATGAACATTGGATCTCTAATGGTAGTTATGATTAAATAAACACTCAAATATATTTCCTGTTAGCTCCTTCTTCTCCATTCCTGTTCCCTCCATTGTTTCCTTCGTCCTCGTAAAACCCCTGTTCCTCCCTTTATCCTCATCCCTCAGCCCGTTTCGATTCATCACAACCCTCTCCCTCGTCACTTTATTCTGTTTCCACCCGTCCATTTCCTCTTTTTTCCTTTTTTTTTTTTTTTTATT